ACCCGATTTCCCCAACAATTTTCAAAACGGGAATTTTTTTCCAGGAACGTTTCTATCACAGTATAGCAGAAATACCTCTACTTAAACATATTATGGTCGGGGTAATTTTTATTTTTCCTTTTGAATGTGAAAGCACTCTATTTATTTAAAAGGAAAAACAAACTACATAAAAGTGTATCAGGTTAAAAAAATGGAGGAGATACCCCAGGCCACCCAATTTTATCTCCTTCCAAATGGAGTGTTAATTTCCACTCCCGCCGGTGGCCTGCGCGAGCCCCTGCGGTAGCTGTTGGAATCCCGCATCAGAGTTACTTGCAACGATAAAGAAAAATGAGGCTGACACTTTCCTCCTCAACGTGTCACCAAATCACTTCCTCAGGCTTCTCACTCTTGAGAATTCAGACATTTTTGCATGAAATAAGACTTTTCATCATTTTTTCTCCAGAGACAGAACGCTCCTTTCATAAACTGAGCTGTTTGTTCAAAGGGTTGAGAGAGAAAGAGAGCGCCAGGCCTCGTAAGGGTCTCTCTGAAACATGACGTTGTTGCCACTTCCTCCTGAACAAGCTTCTAAAAGCACAGCCAGAGCGCTGGGCTGCAGACACATCCATGGTCAGGTCGTGAGTGATTCAAAGTGGTGGCTCTTTCCCAAGTGTTTTTCCTAGATTACATTCTTATTCTATTAAATATTATCTCTTTACTATCGGTCCAGTGCATGGATTAGTGAATGTTGAAAGAAAATTAATTAGAATTCCTGGGGTGGCGCCGTGGCTCGAAGGGCATCTGCAGAGTAGGGGAGGGGATGGGGGAAGAAAAAGAAAGCTCACACTCGGGTCTTCCTGCTCATGGTGCTGGCTCCAGTGCAGGGACTAATGCAGGCAGTCCTGGGTGGTGGCTGGCGGGGCGGGACTGGGCAAGACAGACCAGACACGCCCTGGAGCCAACCCGCAGTTCCTCGTGGCCTGCGCGAGCCCCTGCGGTAGCTGTTGGAATCCCGCGTCAGAGTTACTTGCAACAATAAAGAAAAATGGGGCTGACACTTTCCTCTTCAACGTGTCACCAAATCACTTCCTCAGGCTTCTCACCCTTGAGAATTCAGACATTTTTGCATGAAATAAGACTTTTCATCATTTTTTCTCCAGAGACAGAACGCTCCTTTCATAAACTGAGCTGTTTGTTCAAAGGGTTGAGAGAGAAAGAGAGCGCCAGGCCTCGTAAGGGTCTCTCTGAAACATGACGTTGTTGCCACTTCCTCCTGAACAAGCTTCTAAAAGCACAGCCAGAGCGCTGGGCTGCAGACACATCCATGGTCAGGTCGTGAGTGATTCAAAGTGGTGGCTCTTTCCCAAGTGTTTTTCCTAGATTACATTCTTATTCTATTAAATATTATCTCTTTACTATCGGTCCAGTGCATGGATTAGTGAATGTTGAAAGAAAATTAATTAGAATTCCTGGGATGGCACTCTGGCTCAAAGGGCGTCTGCAGAGTAGGGGGCGTTGGGGGGGACGAAAAAGAAAGCTCACACTCAGGTCTTCCGGCTCACGGTGCTGGCTCTGGTGCAGGGACTAATGCAGGCAGTCCGGGGTGGTGGCTGGCGGGGCGGGACTGGGCAAGACAGGCCAGACACACTCTGGAGCCAACCCGCAGTTCCTCCTTGGGGTGGTGCACTTGGGGTGATGCTGTGGCTCGAAAGGCAAGGTGTCTGCGGAGTGAGCGGGGTCCCTCCGGCAGGTGGGGTCCCTTGGCCTGGCCACAGGGATCGGGCCGAAATCTCTAACATCCCCTCAGGGGTCCCAGAGTTCGAGGGCACTCTGCAATGATGCTGCCATACAGGGTGTGGAACGCAAATGCAAGGGTGCAGTAAACCAGATTTGGGACAAACAGTGCCCCAGCAACATCTCTGAAACATGACGTTGTTGCCACTTCCTCCTGAACAAGCTTCTAAAAGCACAGCCAGAGCGCTGGGCTGCAGACACATCCATGGTCAGGTCGTGAGTGATTCAAAGTGGTGGCTCTTTCCCAAGTGTTTTTCCTAGATTACATTCTTATTCTAATAAATATTATCTCTTTACAAGTGGCCCAGTGCATGGATTAGTGAATGTTGAAAGAAAATTAATTAGAATTCCTGGGGTGGCGCCGTGGCTCGAAGGGCATCTGCAGAGTAGGGGAGGGGATGGGGGAAGAAAAAGAAAGCTCACACTCGGGTCTTCCTGCTCATGGTGCTGGCTCCAGTGCAGGGACTAATGCAGGCAGTCCTGGGTGGTGGCTGGCGGGGCGGGACTGGGCAAGACAGGCCAGACACACTCTGGAGCCAACCCGCAGTTCCTCCTTGGGGTGGTGCACTTGGGGTGATGCTGTGGCTCGAAAGGCAAGGTGTCTGCGGAGTGAGCGGGGTCCCTCCGGCAGGTGGGGTCCCTTGGCCTGGCCACAGGGATCGGGCCGAAATCTCTAACATCCCCTCAGGGGTCCCAGAGTTCGAGGGCACTCTGCAATGATGCTGCCATACAGGGTGTGGAACGCAAATGCAAGGGTGCAGTAAACCAGATTTGGGACAAACAGTGCCCCAGCAACAACATAACCCACCGCTGAAGGTGGAATCACCCAGCCCCCACGAGGAATCGGGCTCCCTCCTCTCTAGTTCTGGGTTTGTCACGTCACCGAGAACCACTGCTGCCAAGGCACCGCAGTTCAGCAGCACCTGCATTGAGCGTCTGCCCCCTGGTGGTCAGTGCACATCATAGGTACCGGCTGGTCTAAGGGTCAGATGGTCCTTTAGCTTTTTATATATATACCAGAGGCCTGATGCATGAAATTTGTGCAAGAGTAGGCCTTCCTTCCCCCGGCTGCCGGCACGGGCTTCCCTCTGGCACCCGGGACCCAGGCTTCTGCCGGCACCCGGGACCAGGGCTTCCCTCACAGTACAGATATTATACCTGGAACTACCATGCTGATGACTCATGATAAGCAGGGTGTTTTCTTTAAAAAATCTTCAAATGGGTATTGCAATTAATAGTAATAATAATGATATCCCCATTTGTTTCTGTACCCGGTCTGTGCTGGGCAAATGCTAAGCAGGTCCATCTCCCGGAGCGCTCCCCCAGCCCAGGTGGTTTCTCAAGTGAGCACTGATGGATTTCTCCTGAGCAGTGGTGTGCAGGGACGCAACATGCAGGCCTCAGGCAAGGTGTCTGCGGAGTGAGCGGGGTCCCTCCGGCAGGTGGGGTCCCTTGGCCTGGCCACGGGGATCGGGCCGAAATCAGCTTTCTAACATCCCCTGAGGGGTCCTGGAGTTCGAGGGCAGTCTGCAATGATGCCGTACAGGGTGTAGAACGCAAACACAAGGGTGCAGTAAACCAGATTTGGGACAAACAGTGCCCCAGCAACAACATAACCCACCGCTGAAGGTGGAATCACCCAGCCCCCACGAGGAATCGGGCTCCCTCCTCTCTAGTTCTGGGTTTGTCACGTCACCGAGAACCACTGCTGCCAAGGCACCGCAGTTCAGCAGCACCTGCATTGAGCGTCTGCCCCCTGGTGGTCAGTGCACATCATAGGTACCGGCTGGTCTAAGGGTCAGATGGTCCTTTAGCTTTTTATGTATATACCAGAGGCCCAATGCATGAAATTTGTGCAAGAGTAGGCCTTCCTTCCCCCGGCTGCCGGCACCGGCTTCCCTCTGGCACCCGGGACCCAGGCTTCTGCCGGCACCTGGGACCAGGGCTTCCCTCACAGTGCAGATATTATACCTGAACTACCATGCTGATGACTCATGATAAGCAGGGTGTTTTCTTTAAAAAATCTTCAAATGGGTATTGCAATTAATAGTAATAATAATGATATCCCCATTTGTTTCTGTACCCGGTCTGTGCTGGGCAAATGCTAAGCAGGTCCATCTCCCGGAGCGCTCCCCCAACCCAGGTGGTTTCTCAAGTGAGCACTGATGGATTTCTCCTGAGCAGTGGTGTGCAGGGACACAACACGCAGGCCTCCCTTTTCATTGACTAAATCTGCCTTCCTCTGGTTCGCAGTGGCCACACATCCAGTGTGTGTGCGTGTGCGTACGCGTTGACCAGGTGCTGAGCGATGGAGACCTGAGTCGCCTCCAGGGGTCTGGAGGTCAGGTCTCTGTGTTCCCGCAGGCAGTCAGGTCCCTCTCAGCCACATCGCTGACACCCCCAGTGCCCCAGCAACAACATAACCCACCGCTGAAGGTGGAATCACCCAGCCCCACGAGGAATCGGGCTCCCTCCTCTCTGGTTTTGGGTTAGTCACGTCACCGAGAACCACTGCTGCCAAGGCACCGCAGTTCAGCAGCACCTGCATTGAGCGTCTGCCCCCTGGTGGTCAGTGCGCATCATAGGTACCGGCTGGTCTGACGGTCAGATGGTCCTTTAGCTTTTTATATATATACCAGAGGCCTGATGCATGAAATTTGTGCAAGAGTAGGCCTTCCTTCCCCCGGCTGCCGGCACGGGCTTCCCTCTGGCACCCGGGACCCAGGCTTCTGCCGGCACCTGGGACCAGGGCTTCCCTCACAGTGCAGATATTATACCTGAACTACCATGCTGATGACTCATGATAAGCAGGGTGTTTTCTTTAAAAAATCTTCAAATGGGTATTGCAATTAATAGTAATAATAATGATATCCCCATTTGTTTCTGTACCCGGTCTGTGCTGGGCAAATGCTAAGCAGGTCCATCTCCCGGAGCGCTCCCCCAGCCCAGGTGGTTTCTCAAGTGAGCACTGATGGATTTCTCCTGAGCAGTGGTGTGCAGGGACACAACACGCAGGCCTCCCTTTTCATTGACTAAATCTGCCTTCCTCTGGTTCGCAGTGGCCACGCATCCAGTGTGTGTGCGTGTGCGTACGTGCTGACCAGGTGCTGAGCGATGGAGACGTGAGTCACCTCCAGGGGTCTGGAGGTCAGGCCTCTGCATTCCCGTGGGCGGTCAGGTCCCTCTCAGTCACGTTGCTGACACCCCTGTTCTTGCCTTGACAGCTGCAGATGAAGATGAGCGAGCGGGCCGCCTCGCTGAGCACCATGGTGCCCCTGCCCCGCAGCGCCTACTGGCAGCACATCACCCGGCAGCACAGCACGGGCCAGCTCTACCGCCTGCAGGGTGAGTGCGGGCAACTGCCTGGGAACTGTGGTGGGAGCCTGTGTGCGGGAGCCTGTGTGTGGGAGCCCGTGTGCTGTGGAAACCTGTGTGCAGGAGCCTGAGTGCGGGAGGGAGAGGGCGGGAGCCTGTGTGCGGGAGCCGGTGTGTGGGAGGGAGACTGTGCAGGTGGGAGGACCGTGGTGGCCGAGGGTGCCAGCACGGGCAGCCCTGCTGAGGGCGCTCTGCTCCACTCACTGCTGCTGGGTGCCAGGCTGGTTAGTCCCTTCCTCCGGTGCCAGGGCCCATCAGGGCCTCACTCCCGAGGCACCATGTCTGCCACAATGTCTGGGGGAAACTGTTCACAGTGCAGAGATTGAGCCAGAGGCTGTGGCTGAGCAGTGTGCACGTCCACAGGTGCCAGGGGGTCCGGTGGGTTGAGCACAGACAGCGCCCGCATTCCTGGGGAACCTGCTGGAAGCTTAGATCTCTGGGCCCCTCCCAGACCCGAGGAGTCAGGGACTCTGAGGATGGAGACCATCCCCGGTTAACAAGCCTCCAGGTGGCTCTCAGCTTAGGAACCTGCTGGAGGGCGGAGTCCTGGGTGCGGACTCTGCTGCACCTCTAAGAAGATCCTGAGGCGCCCCTCTTCTAAAGCTGGGGTCTCCGAACCAGGTGACGGAGGGCCCCACAGGAGCTTTTAGAAATCCTACGTCAGCGTTTTCTCACTCCTTCAGATGCAGCTTTTTGTTGATGGTCAGTAAGAACAGCTGTGCATGTACAATTTGTGAATAGAGAGGCCTGGGTAGCCTGATGGAGAACTTCTCTGATGCAAGAGGCCAGAACCCAGAGGGCACATGCTAGACGGCGCCTCGCTCAGAGGAGGCGCTTGCCGAGCCCCTCAGTTCCACAATGAATGGTGACCTCGGGGAACAGTGGGCTCAGGTCAAGTGCCTGCTCCCCGAGCCTGGTCACCGGCCGCCCCCAGCCCCTCCCGCTGGCCATTCCTCCCCAGGGGCTCTTCTGGGTCCCTCTCCAGGGCTCCCAGACTTTATCATCACCAGCGCTGGCATCTCTGGTGACGTGACTCACAGGAGCGGACAAGGGCACTCGCTCTCCTATTGTCCTTATCAGTTTCCACTTCCTATGCATTGTGGGCCTCTTGGCTCGCAGCCAGCTCCTGCAGGAGGCAGTCGTGCCCAGGCGGACAGGGGAGCCGGGCCTTCCTTCGCCTTCATCTTGTTCTTCCATCGCCTGGCATGGAGCAGCCGTGTGTGATGTGAAGAGGACACCGAGGCGGTTGCATTTTAGTCCTTATGACTTTAGTCTGTCACTAGCAGGGAGCACGGTACCTGGTAGACGCTCAAAAACACCACTGAGTGCTGTGTGCGTGAGCGAGCGGCTGCATTGCTAAACAACTGACAGATGCACTAGAGGCCAGAACCCAGAGGGCATGCGCTAGACGGCCCCTCGCTTAGAGGAGGCACTTGCCGAGCCCCACAGTTCCACAATGAGTGGTGACCTCGGGGAACAATGGGCTCAGGTCAAGTGCCTGCTCCCCGAGCCTGGTCACCGGCCGCCCCCAGCCCCTCCCGCTGGCCATTCCTCCCCAGGGGCTCTTCTGGGTCCCTCTCCAGGGCTCCCAGACTTTATCATCACCAGCGCTGGCATCTCTGGTGACGTGACTCACAGGAGCGGACAAGGGCGCTCACTCTCCTATTGCCCTTATCGGTTTCCACTTCGTATGCATTGTGGGCCTCTGGCTCGCGGCCAGCTGCTGCAGGAGGCAGTCGTGCCCAGGCGGCAGGGGAGCCGGGCCTTTCTTCACCTTCATCACTTGTTCTCCCATCACCTGGCACGGAGCAGCCGTGTGTGATGTGAAAAGGGCACCGAGGCGGTTGCATTTTAGTCCTTATGCCTTTAGTCTCTGTCACTAGCAGGGAGCACGGTACCTGGTAGACGCTCAAAAACACCACCGAGTGCTGTGTGCATGAGCGAGCGGCTGCATTGCTAAACAACTGACAGATGCACTCACCTGCTAGGATCACACGCAGAGTCGGGCGAGGTCGGGTTGTCACAACTGCCATCTGCTCTGTATCATCTTCAGAGACGCTTCAATGTCTGAGTTCCATCATCTCAGCATTACCCTATATGTGCCACTTACACTATATATTCAGTTTTGTTCAGTCTCATCTACTTAAATACATCTATTTTTAAGTGTATTTCATTGTCTTTTAAGCTGTTATAACAATTATATTTTTCCAATATGCAATAAGATAAAGCATATGAACTTATACTCACATAAACCTATTGAATGGCTGTATAGCCTGACTTTCTACATATACCTACACAATCTTTACACAAAGGAAACATCTTCTTAGATTCCAGGTGTCTGGAATGCAAAAGGAAGTGGAGAACCAAGGTGATGTAGGCGTCACAGAGAGGAAATTGAGGAATTGCCTTAAGTCCTGAGATACAGCATGCATGCATCATTTCCCTAGAACACTGTGTCTGCAAAGATGCCCTGAGAGGGAGGGATCACTTAAGTAAGTTGCAGTTTCTGAATTTATTAGCCAATATCCCAGAGTTCCGAAATCCTCGGGACAATCTGGACAGAAAATGTTGTATGAAGAGCACGCTCACTTTCCGATCTCTGGCTAATCCAACTATTCTTAACCAACGTAAGTGCACATTCCTGAGCAATCATTTCAGGTGAAGGGTCTTCTCAGGTTTCTGAATGTATAATAATATAATAATATTTTTTAAAATCTTTTTTAAATTGAAGGAGGATGTTTTAGGTACTGTAAGCATATGGCTTATGTGCACCCAGGGTATCTATGACTACCCCCACAGGGTTTACATCTGGATACATCTGTTTGGCAGCAAACAGTCAACAGTTTTTTAACAACAACAACAATACAATTTGCAAACATACCTGCATGCACAGAGCCGCCTTTGGTGGTTGGGAGGCCCATGCATAGCAGACAGGTCCGGGGTGACCCTCAAAGACTCGTAATCCACGAATTCCAAGACGAGAGAAGTGGCGGCATCCCTTGTGGCCTGTGGAATGGAGCCGAGATGCAAACCATCACGGCTGAGAAAGAAGTGCACACTCTTCCAGGAGCTCCCGGCGTTGTTTGTGTCAAAGATACAGGCCACAAACCAACCAGCGTCGCACAGGGAAGTCCGGGTTTCATCCCTGTCCAGTTAGGTTTATGTTTTAGTATCCTTTCACCCATCACTCAAAAGTAATGAGCTATTACTGTAAAATCAGGTTCAAGTTCATGGGTCCAGACGTTTCAAAGGAGCACAGTGGTCGCGCTTACAGAACAGGCATTTGGAGAGAGGGGTGGCTCTGCTTCTGGTGGAGGCAGTGGGGAGAGGGAGAGTAAGTGCCTGGGATCCTGCAGAGACGATGCTTGTCCGGCTCTGTGGCGACAACTGCAGGGCTCTGGAGACCATAATGAAAACTTTTACTGTTGGCTTTTTTGCTGCAGACGGTGCTCTTCACTGAACATACAGCTTTTTATTAGAATCCTTACCTTTCTCCTGTGTTGTCTGCCCAGCAACACTCCCTGAAATTGCCTCTGATCTCGGGCTGCTCCTGTGTGTGAGGGCAGTGCGGGACTTGCCTCACAAGTGTGTGTTCGCTGTGGGTGTGGTATTGGTTATTTCACCCACTGATTCGTTTTCACACACTTCTGCTACTTGTGTAGGAATTCGCATAAATGTATTTCACGTTGCTATTTAATTTGTACCCATGTTTACTGAGGTAGCTCCTCACCTGTGTGTTCTATGTAGATTTGACCCTTTTATTTTACCTTGTGGATTGCTCTTTAGTTGCCGGTATTCCTGGAGACAGTGTCAATGTGTGGCCTGTGTTGTATGGGACACAATTTACCAGTAACTCGTTCCCTTATAAAAATATTGTCCATTGCCCTGGGCACATAGCTCAGTTGGTTAGAGTGTTGTCCTGATACCCCAAAGTTACAGGTTACATCCCTGGTCAGGGCACATACAAGAATCAACCAGTGAATGCATAGATAAGTGGAACAACAAATCTCTCTTCCTCTCTCTCTAAAATTAAAAAAAATACATATATTGTTCACAGACTATCTAAAATTATCTTGGTTATCAGGGATGGCAATTTCCATGGCAAATAAATGGAATTAAGTTTATCTATTTTCCAGTTATACCATTTGCCTTATTCACCCCTGGAAAAAATTAGTGACATCATGAATTAGAGAAATTAGAAAAAGTTAATGACATTATGGCTCTGTGTGTGCCACATGGTAAAATTGCATGGTACATAGTTCCTTCTTGTTTTACTGGTATTTATGAGTTGTAATTTCTCTGGCTGGTGTAATCTTGGAGATTATACTAACCCTTATGGGGGAATTTATCTGATTTGAGAAATTTTTCATTTCCTCCCTAAATCTAGTCCTTCGGCGCCACCTTCTGGCTGACCTTGGAATTGTCTCTTTATTATTACTGTTTCTGTTACATTCCACACACAGTAAGATGTATTTAATCCACTATCACACCTTCTCTCATCCCATTTTCCAGGGCCCATGTAGAAATTCTCTTCTACGTTTAGGAATATACAGAATCAACATGTCAAGGAGGTGTATCAGGAAACTGCACTCAGGAGGTTCTTTTAGGAATGCATTGCACAACGTAACACAGACTCGTTTTTTACCAGTTGTGTTCCGTGTCGTCTTCACCCTCCCCCCTAGCAGTACTGATGCCCAATAAGTTTGGGGGACATGCTACATGTTCATTCTCTTTTCCAAGATTCAGCATGCAGGTCAGCATTTTCAAGGCTCTGCGATGTCTTGCAGTAAAGAATCTGTTTAGCCTTGTTTAAAGCAGAGATGTGCAAATTTATTGAGCATGAAGCCCCTCTTTCCTTTTTTACATAAGCAAACATTAGCATATCCACCAGTGAAGGGCCAGGTTTGTTCCTTACAATGGAGACAAGACATACTCCATGAGTATCTTTATGAAAGCAACCCTTTCTCGAAGACCTACTGTGTTGCATGAGGCATTTAAGACACGTGATCTAATTTCATCCTTAAAAAAGCCCCTGAGAGTATGTTATTCCCACTAGTAGGGAAGAACCTGAAAATTAGAAGCGTTACTAATGTGTCCGAGATTCCCAATCTAGTAAGTAGTTGAGGTTTTCACCTCTCTATGCATTCACTCACTCACTCATTTATCTAGTCAGTAAGTGTTTATTGAGCACCTCCTTTGCGCCAAGCACTGAGCGAGGTGGTGGAGATACGCTGGGGCTACTAGATAGGTATGTTTCCACCCTCCTAGAGCGTATAGTCCAAAAAAGATCATTGCCAATAATTAAATATATTTAATTTCAAACTTGACACATGTCACTTTGAAAAGAAGGTGTTTGCAATAGAGAATAGTGAGGTGTAGCTGTTGATTTTGGGGGGAGGGGCGATGATAAAGGGACCTCTGTAGACCAGGTGGTCACAGGAGGCTGTGGCATTTATCCCAAGACCTGACGTCTGAGAAGAGCCATACTGAGGGTGAGGGAGCGTCGGGTTCCCCAGCAATGGCAGCAAGTGCAAAGGCCCTGAGACAGAAGCCAGCTGGGAGGCTCAAAGAGCAGAGAGCAGGCAGCATGGCTGGTGCATAGGGGCGCTAGCAGGCAGCCGGGTGCTGTTTGCTTCTCCCAGCGACAGTTCAAGTTGGCAAGAACAGGACTACCGTCTCTGTTTCAATGAAGGCAGAAACCCAGATGCTTGGAGTTCAAGTAGTTGCGCATGATCACATGACTAGTGAGTGGAAGGGGTGGCATGAACTCCAGGGTTCTGACACTAGTCCAGGCTACTTCTTTTACCAGGGGGCCTTGTCTGTGGGTAGACATTCTGCCACCATGGATGTCTGACAGGCATGTACATGCTATGGAAATAGCACCTCCACAGGACTGGCTGCACCACGTGGTTTACATATGTGTTGTAAGGACCATAGATTCTTGGAGTATGTGGCTGCTTTGGAGAAGTTGTTAACGTTGGGTTTCAATCAGTTCTAGCCCAGTTGCTGACATTGTGCGTGCAGCATTTAAGTCGGAAGACAGATTAAGACTTGAGCGATCGTGAGCAGATGACAGAGAAACCAGGCTCTGAAACTTGCCTGTCTATAGGCACCCGGGGCCACACCAAGAGGGTCAGGGCAGAAGGGGAGCGGCGGGCCCTGGTGAACCGCATGCCTCCTTTGCAAGGGGCAGCTGCGTCCCCTCTGGTCCGCCATGCTGTGCGCGGGGGCAGAATCCAGGCCAGCACCACCTTCCGTTCTCCAGCAGAGCAGGGAAATGAGCCCCTTCGTGGGAAGTCCACAGGGATATAAGCAGTGGCAAGCACATCCCAATGTGCCGTGACCTGTGCAGGACAGAGAGCGGGGCTGCGCCCAGGTGGGGCCCAGGGCAGTGCCAGCTTGTGACCGTTCCATGAACTGCGAAGAATGGAGAGAATCTTTCCATCCATTTCCTGGCTTTGAGCTAAGCACAGTGTTCACAGCAGCTGGAGAGACGCCGGGAGCCCACGGCAGAGGCCACAGGTGCTTTCAGTTCGGCTTGACCCCAGGTGGATGCCATCAGTTGCTGTCCTCGCAGACTCAGAGCCTACGGAGCTGCCGTTGACGGTACAGAGAGAGGCTTTGCAGCTGAGTGAGGACTTAGGAGTTGCGTTAATACTGTTGCATGCTGGCTGCTTCCTGTGGGAAACATTACCAGGCCTTTTCAAAGCCTGACCTGGATTCTTACTTGTAACCTCATGAATACCGTGCACTACCTATTGCATGTGTGTACGTGTGTAGGCAAAGGGAATAGAATCCGCATTCGTGATGGCTGGGAGGCTGGAAGAAGGGATGTAGGTTGTTTTAAAGTTCAAGGGTTCTGTACTAATCCCTGCTGCTGAGTGCCAGGGACCACCTGACTGGCTAGATAACTCTCTCCCGGTGCACACTTGAGGCATGGGGATACCGACTCCTTGATTTCTGTTTCCTTTTTGTTTGGGGGTTGCGACCTCACCGCTCAGCAGACCTGTGGTGTTTCCTTTCGTCCTGGACTGTCTCGGGCTTGGCATGAGGTCAGACGGAGGCAGGGCTGTTTGTGGTCATGAAATAAATGGGGAATGAGCAAGGGCCCCTGGGCTCCATCAATGTTCCTGTGTGGCCCAGGGCTTGAACAGAGCGTGGTTCTGAGAGTGACCGGGCGGGCAGCGTGCCCGTGGAGCTGCGGTCCTCTCTCTCCAGGATGGTGCAGGCTTGACCCCTGCCTCTGGCTCCCGGGAGTGCCCTGCTCCAGGCCAGGCTTGTTCTACTCAGGTTGACCTTTACCTGCGCACAGGGTGCATTTCTTGGCTCTGGGTAACCTTAACCAGCAGGTGGCAGTAAAACCTCTCGTTTTCTATGAAATCCAGTTATCTCTGCAGATATTGGCAAACTAGGGCTGGCTGGGAGGATTGCAGCTGCTCTCTGATTAGGAGAACAGAGGTGTATGGAACATCGACACCCACTCCTTCGATCCCTGGTAGTTGCGGCTGTCTTCGCACTATCGGCAGCAGAGTTGCTGTGAGACCAGTGCACAGCCTGTAAAATCTAAGCATGTAGCACCTGGGTCTGCATGGAAGAAGTTTGCCACGCCCCGATGTCGCAGAGGGCTGACCATGGCCTTCCGTGTTTAACTTCCTGACTTCTCATCTTTCTTGGTTGGAACCTCACCCTGAAATCATAAAGACCAAATGGGTTTTAAGAAGTCCTCCTGCCAAAACCGGTTTGGCTCAGTGGATAGAGCGTCAGCCTGCGGACTGAAAGGTCCCAGGTTCGATTCTGGTCAGGGGCATGTACTTGGGTTGTGGGCACATCCCCAGTAAGAGATGTGCAGGAGGCAGCTGATCGATGTTTCTCCCTCATCGATGTTTCTAACTCTCTATCTCTCTCTCTTCCTCTCTGTAAAAAATCAATAAAATAAATTAAAAAAAAAAGAAGTCCTCCTTTGCAACGAGTTTTCCTAGTTATAAGTATAAACTTGTCTTACTTCTGATCAGGTTTACAAAGAATGTCCTCTTCAAGTTTCCACAGTCCCATGATTCCGTCTCATTTTTCCTAAATACCCTGTGAGTTAATGAGAAAGAAAAATCGAGGAAAATAATCAGTTATCTGATTATAGCCCCAGGCAAAGGCCACATGCAAATGATATGTTAATGATGTAATCTCCCATGAGTCTTATTTGCAAATCACTGTGAGTGGGAACCGTGTTACTTACTTCTCTTCCATAGACACATGTTGCTAGCTAATCTGGAGGTGGGCTTTCTGGACACGTATGTAACCGCAGTTCTAACATTCTTTTTGGAAAAGATGTCGCCAGTCCTCTGAAGCTTCATCGGACAGAGACCTTCCCCGCCTACCGCCCCGAGCACTGACAGCGACTGCCCAGCACGTGAGTGACACGCGTGGGAGGCGTCCGCACGGATCCACCGGAGGTCACGGGACGGCGGCGAGAAGGATGAAGGAAGCTCCGGGTCCTGCCTAGTCGTGTGGTCACTGGGAAACTGCAATACTATCCTTGTCTTTCTTTCTCTCTTTCTTTCCCCTTGGTTCTTTCCTTTTGTAAAAAAAAAAAAATCAAGCCCCCTTAGCGTAATTGAAACATGCTCTACAGATACCGACTTCTTTTACAGCCGGAAAGAAAGGAGTCAACCCACACGTGATTTTCTATGGTCGATCCCTGTCCCCTGCACTTCTCAGTCCTTTTGTGGTCCTTGTGATTTCCCCTCTGCGTGTCAGGTGTGTCACAGTCGGCACTGACAATAAAATGCCCTCCGTTATTTGTTACCTGTGTGTCCTCGGTGCCTCGGTTACTCATACCTGGTGGGTCTGGTTAGCTACCGGCGACTGCATTTCATTATATCGCCAGTTAGTTTAAACCAGGGCTTCGGCTCACTCTTACTTATTCTGTTAAGGACCCTGGAGTGTTCTTTATGGGGTGAACATTTCTCACACAACTGTCCCTCTTGTCTTTTTCCAAGCCTTCATTTTGTTTGAAGTACCTTCGTCACCCGTTTCAAAATAAAAGTGCATTCTTCACCCTGAGCACGGTTGGGCATCACTCTCATTCATTAAACTGGTCAGAGCACCTGCCAGCTCAGGGCTGTGCTTGCTGGAGCCCTGGAGCCCGGGGACCTGTCTCCGCGGACCTTAACTGCAGAGAGTTCGACAAGGAAATAAGGTTGCCCTGACCATTCAGGGCGGCTGCTCCATGGGCCCCAGGGGCGACGCATTTCTAGAGGGAAGGCCTCACTTTTCCCCCAGGTTTTCCCACTGGAGAGTTGATTCTTGTGGGCGCCTCAGGCTGGAGAGAGAACAGCAGCTATCTGTCTCCTCTGTTCACAGTGTGGTTGCCAGATAAAATAGAGAACGCCCATTACATGGAGTTTCAGATACACAATGAGTAGTTTTTAGTCTAAGTGTGTTGCATGGGACATTATGTTTTTTAAGAGTGCTCGTGGCATCTCTCAAGGTCAAGTTGGCCTGGGTGGGCTGCACTTTCCCTTCTACAGCTGGCGTTCCTATTTCCCAGCCCTAGGGCGGTGCCTGGCTCAGCTCACACTTGAGAAATACACGTTGAATGAATGGATAGACGAATCACTTTCCATCCTAAGGATAGAGGTCTTTCTAAAGGAGGCAAATTAATAGTGATTATATATTTTCTCAGCACCAAGGCACAGGGCTAGGCCCTTCCAAAATGGTGATTTTTCACCAGAAAATACGATCTTGTATTTTCTAGGAAAAAAAATACAATTTTGCTAGTTTCAAGAAAGGGCCATAAAAAGGTTTCTTTTCTATTTTTTAATTGATGAGAGGGAGGGAGGGAGAGAGAGAGAGAGAGAGAGAGAGGAGACATTGATTTGCTATTCCACTCATTTATGCATTCATTGGTTGCTTCTTATGTGTGTCCTCACTGGGATTGCACGCACAACCTTGGTGTATCGGGAGGACACTCTAACCAACTGAGCTACCCAACCAGGGCAAAGATTATTTTCATTTGTGCTTTTTTCAAAAAGTACACAACTTCCCCAAATAGAGATTGACCCATGAAGCCCCAATGATTAAGGATATGGAAATGGTTTGGTGCCAATGGCTTGGCTGGAACGCATTTGTGTTTTAGCAACTTTCACATCATTTTGCTCCTCCTCCTCCTCCTAGGTGCATACCTATTCATCTTGCAAAGATGTGGTTCTGCACACACTTGATAATTCCCTCACTGTTCCTTTTCCTGGCTCTGCCTGGCTCTTCTTGTCTTCTAAAGCCGCCTCTTAAGAGGTCCTCCCCGAGTCCAGGGCCTTGGCAGCACACGTGGGGGATTAAGTTGAAGTAAATAAAGAAAATGGAATTAAAGAAATAATGATAATTTTAATGAAAGTCAGAATTGCCGAAGCAAGTCTAAAGCTAATGAATGTGTAAAGAAATGATGCTGAGTATGGTTAACTACAAGTCAAACCTCTTTCAGGACTTTAAAAAAAGAAACATATTCACACACACACACACACACACGCAGGCACACAAGAGTTGGGGTTCTATTAGATTATCCACATAGTGTCTATGTTCCGTTCAGTACTATTCCAGGTGCCTTGCTTGTGTTATCTTATTAGGTCCCCACAACAGCTCTAGAAGGCCAGTGTAATTATTGTTCCCGTTTTACAGATGAGGAAACTGAGCCTTAAGGAGTTTTAATAATCTGAAAAATGTGCCCAACATTTCTGAGCTCTGTTCAAAGGTAAATCTCGGCACATTAAAAAATTGTAAGAGTTTATTTGAGCCTACATCATCTTGATATGGGCCTTGCCAAACAAAAGCTGGTTAGGAGCGCTCCAAAGACAGGCTTGGGGAGAGGTCTCCAGAGAGAAGATGCGGCTGAAAGCAAAGCACGGATGAGGACTTAATAATGGTTACCTTACTTGGGAAAGCCTAGCTGGCTGTTTGTGATCAATTGTTCTTAAGTTCCCTTTCCTTGGATTACCTTTCGGCATTAGCGCCACCCAGTCTGATAGCCTCCTTGTTTAATTACTTTCCCAGTTACTGCTGAGTAGCCTCACGGTTGAACCCAGGCATTTTGACTCCAGAATATAAATATTTTAGGCTTCGGGTGTCAAGTGGCTCTGTTGCTATTGTATCGCAAAAGCAGCCACAGACAATACATAAACCTGTCGAGTAACACTCCCTCCACATTCTGCGTGGAGTAGGGTTCGGTATCTGAAAGAGGAGCCGCACAACAAATGAGAGAAAAAGACACGAGATAATTTTGCAATATTGGGGGACCAGGCGGGCAAGTCCCGAAGGACTTCCACCCATGCTCAGGCTGCTCCAATCTTTTATTGATCTGGAGTAGCCCTTAGGGTAAGGAAGTTTCAATGACACACAGATCAGCAGACAATTTCCAGGAGTAGACAAAAGTATCTGATTAACTCATCAATAGATTTCCGGGAGTATCTGATTAACAATAATCAACAAGGATCTACATAAGTATCTAAGGAATTAAGGGAACTAAGGTGGGGATGCTTCAACTATTATTACCTAAATTAACTGAGTGGTTCCTAGATTAACTGGGTGGTGCACAGCCCTGACCTTTGCTAGGACTTTCAAGCCCTGACCTTTACTAGGACTTTCAATGGCTACTAGCTTTTGGGGGGGTCTCTGTCTAAACTCAGCTAGTGAAGACAATGAATGGACTCCGGCATAAACCCATAGGGGTGGCTGGGTTGGCCCACGCTGCATTTGCCAATCCCTACTCTCCATGATAGCACCTCAATGCTGTCTTTTATTAGTTCCAGGTTTTTGGTAGAAGCCAGGAGAAACGTAAACACTTCCGGCCTTCCCTGAGGGGAAGCTGGTTGGCAATGATGTCGTCTTTCTTTTGCTAATCCCCAAGCTAAGTGGTGAACACACAAGTGTGAGGAGGAAGGGATTTTTCTAAGCTGTGGTGGATTTGTACATAAACTACATCCTAATGCACTTAGGCCAACATTGCAAACACACTGAAATCTGGGGATCAAACTATGGGATTTTTTCTTAGACATCGTTGCTGTTTCTGTTTTAATTATACACTGAGAAAAATGACAGTTTTTTTGGCGGGAGGCGGGGTTGGGAGTAGGGGAGTGAATTTCATATTCCACTTCCATGCTCAAGCCTGAGAAGGCCTTTCACGCCATTGAAGGCAGAAGAACGCAGGCATAGTTAAGATGCCTCCTCAGTGGGAGAGCCGGGTTCTGAAGTCCATCCATTCATTTCCCACATGTTTAGTGGGTGTGGTGGGTGCATTGGCTGTGTGGTGGTTTTCCTGGAAACACGGTGTGAAAAAAGCAGGAGCAACGGCCAACCCAAGGGCTTGAAGCGTTTCAGCCGATTGCTCAGGAAACAGACAGAATGCAAGAGAACACACATTTGTACAGAGACATTTTATGATTCCTCTTTGAGACAGTCTTGACTTTGAGAAGTGAATATTGCACCAACAGGTTTTTTTAAAAATATGTTTTTATTGATTTGAGAGAGAAAGAGAGAAAGAGAGGGTGAGGGAGAGAGAGAGAGAGAGAGAGAGAGAGAGAGAAACATCGATGTGAGAGAAATATTGATCAGTTGCTTCCTGCACGCCCCCTACCTGGGATTGAACCTACAGCCTGGGCATATGTTCTGACGTGGAATCAAACCAGCAACCTTTCCATGCATGGGAGGATGCTCAACCAACTGAGCCACACCGGCCAGGGCTGCACCAACTCTTAAAATCTTCTTTCCTGTAGTTCCAGTATAAAATGCATCCATTTTCAGATTTCTATGAAGATGACGAACTCAACATTTTTCACTCATATAGCGGTTTTAAATTCTTTTGGTTCAAGATTGGAGGTAAGGCTGCCCATCTTCTGATAAAGTCAGCAGTTA